ATCGCATATCAAACCCTGCAAACTCTCCAAAAGCGCGGGTTCCAGCAGCAGGCGCCAAATGCACAACAGGCGGCCGCAGCCGCAGCCGTCGAAGCCGCAGACGATGTCTTCGACACCCCGCCCCAGCAGACCGACTCGGCGAGACCCTTCGATGCGCTCGACACGTTTCCCCGCCGTCACATTGGGCCGTCTGCCGAGAGTGCGGAAGCCATGCTCAAGGCCCTGGACCCGCCCGTGGGCAGCCTAGACGAGTTCGTCCGCCAGGTTATACCCGCTGATATTCTGTCGGCGCGCGAGTTGAAGATTGGCAGCATGGCCGAGGGGCTGTCTGTGGAGGAGTGGCAGGCCCACGGCGTGCCAGAGTCTGTCTTCCTCAACACCGCGAAGCAGATTATGAGCCAGAACAAGCCGGGCAAGAGTCTGATCGGACAGGGATACTATGGCACCAAAGTCCCGGAGGTCATCAAGAGGAACGTCCTCGAGAACCCTGCGTGGTACACTAGCTATACCCCATACCAGCCTGAGATCAGCCAGGGACGTCTCGAGTCGCTGCTGAACTTCCAGACTATGGTCTCGGATCTGACTGGTCTGAGCATTGCAAATGCGTCGGTGCTGGATGAGCCTACTGCGGCGGCCGAGGCTATGACCATGTCCATGGGCATGATGCCTTTGTCTAAGCAGAAGAGCAAGAACAAGACTTTCCTCGTTTCGGAGCGGTGCCATCCTCAGACTCTCGCTGTTCTGTACTCGCGCGCCGAGGGCTTCGGCATCAAGATTGAGGTCGCGGATGTACTCAAGGACAACAGCAAGAGAGTGGAGGAGCTAGGTCAGGATCTAGTTGGTGTGCTCGCTCAGTACCCAGACACTGACGGAGCCGTCAACGACTTCCGCGGTCTCGCTGACAAGGTGCACAAGACTGGTGCTCTTTTCAGCGTTGCGACCGATCTCCTCGCCCTCACACTGCTTACTCCACCGGGAGAGTTCGGTGCCGACATCGCTTTCGGAAACGCACAACGATTTGGTGTGCCTCTGGGTTACGGTGGACCGCACGCGGCCTTCTTCGCTTGCGACGAGAAGTACAAGCGCAAGATTCCGGGTCGTCTGATCGGTCTGTCAAAGGACAGGTTGGGAAACCCTGCGGCGCGACTCGCGCTGCAAACCCGAGAGCAACACATTCGCCGTGAGAAGGCTACTAGCAACATTTGCACGGCACAGGCTCTGTTGGCAAACATGAGCGCTATGTACGCTGTGTACCATGGACCAAATGGCTTGACTGCCATCGCTAAGCAGGTCGTTGCAAAGGCTCGCACGATCCAACAAGCCCTCATCGCCAATGGCTACAAGACCGGCCAGCGCGGAAAGATGGACAACGCACCTGTCTTGTTCGACACAGTCGTTGTCGAGACTGGCGACAAGACCGACGCCATCATCTCCGCACTCGCGAAGAACGAAATATTCGTACGAAGGATTGACGCCCATCACGTCGGTATTTCTGTCGATGAAACCACTGGTGCGAATACCATCAACAAAGTATTGAATGTGTTCAACGGAACTCGTAACGACTGGTCTTTTGCCGAATCTGTCGACATTGAGGTCCCTGAGCCATTCAAGAGGACCAGCGAATTCATGACCCACCCAGTCTTCAACTCGCACCACTCCGAGACAGAACTTCTTCGCTACATCAACCATCTTTCTTCAAAGGATCTGTCTCTAGTTCACTCGATGATTCCTCTTGGTTCCTGCACGATGAAGCTCAACTCCACTGCAGAGATGGCACCTGTCTCGTTCGACACCGTTTCCAACCTGCATCCCTTCCTGCCTCTTGACCGCGCCACTGGATACTCTGATATGATCAAGCAGCTGGAAGACGATTTGGCCGACATTACCGGTTTCCACTCTGTCTCGCTACAGCCCAACTCTGGTGCTCAGGGTGAGTTCACTGGACTTCGCGTTATTCGCAAGTACCTTGAGCAGCAGCCTGGCAAGAAGCGCGACATCTGCTTGATTCCTGTCTCAGCCCACGGCACCAACCCTGCTAGTGCTGCCATGTGCGGTATGCGTGTTGTACCCATCAAGTGCGACCAAGCGACCGGTAACCTGGACATGGCCGACTTGAAGGCCAAGTGCGAGAAGCACAGCGAAGAGCTCGGTGCCTTCATGGTCACCTACCCCAGCACTTTCGGTGTCTTCGAGCCCAGCGTCAAGGAGGCTTGCGACCTGATCCACCAGCACGGTGGCCAAGTCTACATGGACGGTGCCAACATGAACGCCCAAATCGGTCTTTGCTCCCCCGGCGAGATCGGTGCCGACGTCTGCCATCTCAACCTGCACAAGACCTTCTGCATTCCCCACGGCGGCGGTGGCCCCGGTGTAGGCCCCATCGGAGTAAAAGAGCATCTCTCACCCTTCCTCCCCGGCCATCTCCGCGGCGAAACCGGTGGCGCCCAAGCCATCCACCCCGTCAGCGGTGCACCCTGGGGAAGCGCCAGCATCCTGCCCATCAGCTGGGCCTACATCAAGATGATGGGCGCCGTCGGCCTCACACAAGCCACCAAGATCACCCTCCTAAACGCAAACTACATCCTCTCCCGCCTGAAGCCTCACTACCCCATCCTCTACACCAACGACGAAGGCCGCTGCGCCCACGAATTCATCCTCGACGTCCGCGGCTTCAAGGAAACCGCTGGCATCGAAGCTATCGACATTGCCAAGCGCCTTCAAGACTACGGGTTCCACGCCCCGACCATGAGCTGGCCCGTCGCCAACACCCTCATGATCGAGCCTACGGAGTCGGAGAGCAAGGCTGAACTAGACCGTTTCTGCGATGCGTTGATTAGCATTCGCAAGGAGATTAAGGAGGTTGAAGAGGGCCAACAACCCAAGGAGGGTAATGTGCTCAAGATGAGTCCGCATACGCAGCAGGATCTTATTACGGGAGAGTGGCAGAGGAGTTATTCGAGGGAGAAGGCGGCGTATCCCCTCAGTTACTTGAAGGCGAAGAAGTTCTGGCCTAGTGTTGCGAGGTTGGATGATGGTAAGTCTTTTTTTCCTGTTCGTGGAGTTGTGAGGATGCGGACTAACATTGCAATAGCATACGGTGACACAAACCTCTTCTGCACATGTGCGCCTGTCGAGGGCGAGGATAGCGATATCACGGGTGCTGCTGCGCCGACCCCGACCTAAGCTCTTCACCCTCACGACCGGTTCGACCTTCTTTCACGGACTTTTCTTTTTACCTCTTTGCATACAAGGTGCGGGGCTCTATCGGATAGGCCTCTTTCTTCAACAAGCACCCCCCAGCGTGGGTGTTCTGGCGTCTTTACATTTACATCACCTTGGCTTGGCTTCAACACTTGCTGGTCGATGGATATTTTTGGTGGGATTTATGAATGAATGCATATGTGGCGTTTTTTGCTGGGTATAGATGGTGCTATGATAAGTACGGGAATGAGATGATAGTTCATGATGCATTAAATGTGGTCTTTAACGTGTGTGCGGCATTTGTTTGGTATCGTGTATGCTGCAAATGGTTCCGGAGATCTCCGCGGCAAGCATTGCGGATGGTGCGCGGACTTGAGGGCTCACGTGCGCTGCGGCCGCTGGCTTGGCCGTGTGCGTACAAAAGTCTCCTTCATGCTGTCTACTCCTCTCTTTCCTCATATCACATTCAGCCATTTCACTCCAAAATCGCATTCTCACTACGTTATGGTGTGTCCAAAAAAGGTTTTACGACATATTATGGGATCTGTCTCTTCCTCCTCTCCAACATACCCAAACGAAAACCTCTAGGCAACACCGTGATGTCTCTCCCGCCTCCTTCCTTCTCAAAACATGAATCCGTTGTTCGGATGGTGTCTTCGCCTGCCTTCTCTCGATACTTCAAATTCAACTCGGCGTCGTTCATGTTCTTCGTCTGCCAGAACACATCTTACCAGCCTGCTATGGCTGTGCGGTCTCTCTACTCCTCGACAACATTTCTAAGGTCAGCGACCAAAAAACAGGACGGGTATTATTATTATGGTTGCGGCCTTCTCTTCTCGATTACAAAGAAAATGAAGCTGGAAAGCTACATGGTGTTCTCCAACTCCTTCTGGGGTTTTCCGAAAAGAGAGGCTAGTGGACTATGTGTTCGCCTGACCGAAACCGCACCCTGAGCAATTTAATGTCTGCTCTGCTTCTCTTCTCCTCGCACATCTCTGAGAAGCGGGGATCAAAACATGGCTCAATATGTCGGATGCTTCCCGCGTCTCCTTCCTTGCCAAAAAACAGAAGGCGTGTGAACATGGCGTTCTCTCGCTTCTCCTGGGAGCTTAAAGGTCATTCAGAAATATGGGATGTGCTTCCAGTATCGAAAGAAAAATGTAGCGCTTCAATGTCTGTCCGTCTTCCTTTCCTGAAAAAAACCACACCCGCCTGCTTTATGATCCTGTGGTTTCGAAAAACAGCTTTGCAGAATACATGGGCGTCGTTGGACCAAAAGAACCCAAACACCTGGCCATGTCTTCTGCAAAAAGACAAATGCGTTCTTGACATGAACAGAAACATGTTCGGGGATCACGCATGTCTGAAGAAAGTAGCAGAGAAATGGATGTCTGCTGCGACTGCTTCAAGCTGCATGTGTCTTGTGCATATACAAAACAGCCGTGGAGAAAGTTCCATGTTGGCGAAGTAACTCGAGCTAAGGGACATGACTGTGCTACTTGCGCTTCTTGTCACCCATGCCTGGACTTTGAGGCCAGTCAGCGATGAGGGCGTGTATAAAGATCGCGGAAGTAAGCGCTTCTTCTTCTTTTTTATCACTCACTGCTTCTGGCAGTTTACCAAAATGCCGTAGATGAGTTTGGATGGAGTGACCAAAATCTGCATGGCTGCGAGCGATGACTGTGGCTTGGCGAGACGTTTCGAAAAGTACAAGGCTGGCAACTATGTGTGTTTTTTCTTGGCTCCGCTCCATCACGAGCGCACTCACCAAGTTCCACAATTACATCTCATCAAACCCATCAATCCACCTTCGCAAAGATAGCATCCGCAATCGCGTCAATCGCCTCTCTACACAACACCCTCACCTCCTCCTTTACGTGCGATTGTTCCGCAAACCACTTGAATCCCCCCCACCAACACCTCCATCTTCCCAACGAAAAACCCGGGTTTCCATCCCAAAGGTCCGTGTGCACCGCTATCCCTCTCTGCAAACCTTCGCCAAAGATTGAGTTGCCCAAGCGATACATATCGCGTCCGCCTATGATGACCCATTGAGCTGCGGCTGTGAGGTCGTAGTTGAGAAGTTCATTGGCATCAATCGCGGAACGCTCGAGGAAAGTAGGGCGGATGTGTTTCTCGAATTCCGCCTCTCTTGATTGCTGGCTCGTCTCGAGCGTCTCGCGTAGGCAAAAGAAGCCGAACATGAAATACCCGTCGTTGTATCCAGAGGTGGCCAATTTGGCAGTGAAGACATTATAATTAACCCATCTGTCACCCGGCGTAGTGGTCGCTTGCTTATCTTCCGGTTTCCAGAGATATCGCAGTCCGGATATGCCGTCATAGTTTTCCCGGTGCATGGATTCGAGGTGGTAGTAGACTGGGTTTGGGGTGGGGGGTATGGCGCGGATGGCGGGAAGGAGGGCGATAATAGGGTCGTGTGAGGTGGAGAATTGTGCGACTGTGTCTAGGAGTAGATTTGTGACTTCGAAGCCGGTATCTGCGGGTTTTGATGAGGCGTTGACAGAGGTCACGATTGCTGATGCAGTCGTTGCGGGTGGGGTGTCTGTGGTGCTGGAGAGATAGTCTGAGAGAATTTTGGTGCTTTCTTGGAAGGCCTTCTCACCGGCGTTGGCTTTCTGACTGAACCATTGATCCATAGCTGAATGTTGCACTGCTGAAAAAAACAAAGACGCTGGGGCGGAAGTGGTGAGGCTGGAGTGGTGAATCTTGCTCGTGGATTTGCGGGCCGGCGGAGGTGATCACGAAGCTTGCCTCAGCATACGCTACGTCATAGGTCACTGCGTACACTCCGATAACAGCATATACTCGTTGCGACAACAAGTACACCGCACGTTATCTGCCTCTTGACGAGAAGTCTTGAATGAGATGCAAATATGCATACGGAGGCAGATGACTTTACTTCTCGACTTCGCACTCATTCACCATGCCTTTGCAATGTATAGAGCGGACGTAATGAATGTAACCATTTCAGGGGATTGGAAACCCTCACAGAATACATGTGTATATATTCGCATTCGCGATGTACCGGTATGGGGTGGTATCCCAACAAGCGGCGCGCCGCATCATACCATCGCGCGACGCCCCTCGTCTCGACGCAAACAGCTTCACCTTACCTCGAAGCGGACGCATGCACCGTCTCAAATCGGGCACATAGCACCTCTCAAATCCTCTACGAAATCGAGCTTTCCCTTTACAGGACCGAGACTGTCGTAATCTTCCTTCTTCATATGTCGTCTTGAGGCTGCCGCACCCTTGAACCCACTCCGACTGACTCCCGCGCCTGCAAGGGCGCTAAACACAGTCATAAAGGCGTTTTCTGGATCCTGGACTACGCCGTAGACTGTAAGTGCGACGTCGCCTACCGTGCCGATAAGTCTGGCAATAGAGCGAACAGCAGTCAGCCCTGCGGCTGCTTCACCAGCGAACGGGATGAAAAACAAGAGACCCATGATGAAGTTCAGAATGAACTCTTCGCGCTCCGCCTTCTCTATTTCATTAGCCTTGCTTACGATCTTCTCCATAGCCACAATGGCCTCCTCGGTAGAGAATGCTGGCAGCGAGGTGGAGTCGACCATGTCAGATTCGGGCATCTGTTCGTCCCAGATACCTGCCAGCGACATGTCTTGGAAGCGGTACAACATGTCCTGGGCTTTGGAGTAGGAGTCGCCGATGATATCCTTGGGGTTGTAGATCTCGACCTTGTTTTGGTCCATAAGAGGATAGTTCCTGAAGAAGTTGTTGTTCCATTCCATACAGGCCTTGGCGTCCGAGGAATACTGGCAACCGTTGTTGACTCGCATCTCGCGCTTGCCAAACTTGATCCATTCTCTGTCTATGCCCCAAGTCTTGGAGAGGTCGTCGTAAAAGCTGTCTTCGTCCTTGAGGGTGAATGTCGCGTTTGGAATGTAGTCGCTCGTGAGTGGGCGTGCCTTGAACTCCATCTTTGGACATTTCTCCATGGGATAGTCACCCGCGCCTCCTTTGCAGTCTTTGCCTTTGATGCAGTTCAGATTACAGCCGGCATACATGCAGTCATCACAGCAGATTGCCGAGTTCTTGTGATCCGTGCAAGTAAAGTACTCGTCAACCTTGTCGCTTGCCATGAAGTTGTTGATTTGGTCGGGAATCTGGTCCTTCACGTAAGAAGCGTAGGTGTCGAATTTATCATCGTAACCCTTGTCGACCAGATCTTTGTACTTCTTCAGCGCTCCATCGAGTACAGAGATTTGAACATCGGTGATGTACTGCTCCATGCAGTGGCCGGGGATCGAGCCTTTGCGGTCCTTCAACTGATCCAGTGAGCTGAATTGCCCCTCGCAGGCAGCCCAGTAGTTTTCGTCGATCGGCACTTCGTAATCCTCAGGTTCATCTACTCTACTTCTAGTCAGTGAGGCTCAGTCTCACGCTCTTTCATCAACTTACCCATGCCAATCTTGCAGATCCACTGCCCAGTCCGTAGTTCCAGCGAAGTTGTATGAGTCGTAGAACTTTGATCGAGTGACCTTCAACTCATCATCCATCCAGGCGACCCATTCCGTATTGTTGAAGACCATGATGTTTGAACCGTCCTTGATGTACTTCTTCTGGATGTTACCACTGTCGATGATCTCCTGGATCTCAGCATTGGAGATATAACCACCAGTCTGTGTACATCGGCCTTGGTACGCATCGGATACTCGGGGAGATCCGGTAAACTTGCAGTATTCGTAATCGCACCCAGCTTGCGCCATCTTGAAGGAGCGACCATAGCTAGAGACACCCACAACCTACGAACATATCAGCGTGACGGTCTATACATACATCATTGATAATCACTCACCACTTTGCTGGAGTCTGCTCCGGCTTTGGTTATCATGGATAGCGCATCTTTGGTCTCAGTTTCGTTGACATGAGATCTCAGGCAGTTACCAGTGTCGCATCCAGGCGAAGTCCACTTGTTGCCGTAATCCCATTGGCCATGCAGATCGTATGTCATATATACGATGTAGTCGAGAGTCTTGGCCATGTCCTTAATGGGGAAGGACTTGAGGTACCAGTATGACGCGGGCGCCGCGAAAGATACAGACTTGGAAGAACCCAAGGCTGACTTCAAGCTGGCGAGCAGTCGGTAGTAGTTGACGCCGTTGACAGGATCATCGGTCGGAATGCCGGGCAGGTCGGGAGCCTGAGTATATCCTATCAGCATATGGAATTCAGCAATTGCTCAGGGACTTACTCCAGGGTACTCCCAGTCGAGGTCGACACCATCAAGCCCATGCTCTTCAATGAAGCTGATGATGTTGTCCCTAAACGTCGCACGATTGGCCGGTAAGACCGCCTCACGCAAGATCTGAAATGTTCCAGGCTCGGTACTGAACGCCCAGCCACCGAAAGAGATGATCTTCTTGACGTTCTTCATCTTCTTGAACTCTTCGAATTCCTTCAGAGTTGTCTCGTCCGTAATCTCTGGCTTATATGTCCCTCGAGTGACGTTCGCGAAGGCAAAGTGGATATGCGTGTAGTCCTCGGGAATCGACGTCACTAGCATATTCAGGCATGGTCGATTGAAGTTCCAGCTTTCGTAGTATGCGATCTTGATTTTGTTCGCCGGAGCGGTGCCTTTGATGATGTCTCTGCCGCAATTGCTGATGCCTGAAGCACGTTAGTATACCTCCATGAATGCGAATGACTGTGGACTACATACATCCATTCTTTCCGGGGGCAGACGTTCCCGGGGCACCGGTCTCTGACTTGCTAACGGTGCAGAAGTCGTCAGTCAAACCACATTGGCCCCAGACGTTGCAGCAAACGTTCAATGGACAAGGGTTCAGTGTGCTGATATTCGCAGGTGCGGTGATCGGGTTCGGTCGTATGGTGCCGTTCTTCGTTGGCCCGCAGATCGCATTCTATCAAGGCGTGCGTCAGAAAGAGTAACAGGTTGGAGAGTGCGGATCAGGAAAAGCATACCGGAACAATGGCAGGCATAGGTGCTAAGCCCTTGCTGACACACATGAGAAAGTCTGCATAGAAGACCTCTGGTTTGCAGCCATTCCAGCCCCATGTACCCTTGTTGAACTCCATGAGGTCATCCACAGTAATGTCGTGGGAGATGGCAACCTTCGAGCAACTGTCATCCTTCTTGGTGTAGTAGGTCGCGCAATTTCCGCCGGCATCGGGCTTGGGTTTCAGATCAGGATATTTGCCGGCAGTACAGCAAACCTTTTGCCCTGGCATAAGGTTTGAGCAGAGATTCGTCTTGGTGTTAGCCTTCATGAAGTCGTTCGCGCTGATACCGCATTTGGCCGCGAGGCTGCCACAGTCATCCTTCTCTACAACCTCCCTCGTCTTGCAAGTACCGTCTGTATTGCCAGAAGGGAGTGTGCTTGGCAATGTGCCGCTACTACAGCACACGACCTCATCTTTGACAAGCGTAGTGCAGAGGTTGGCGCGGTTGTACTTCTCCAGGTTGGTCTGGCTGATGCCGCATCGATCGGCGATGGCGTAGCAACCATCGCCACTTCTGACGGTCGCAGTCTTGCAGTCTGCTCTGATGTCGAGACGTCCTCTCGTGTCCAAATGAGCGGGCGAGATGTTTCGAGAACGAATGGTTGAGTTAGTGCCATTGACAGAGATGTGTTCCACGGAAACAGGAATGCGAATGGTGACCTGCATCCAGTCTTCGCCTGTATCAGCCTGGGAGACGCACTCGCCATCCGACCAAGTCTTGACAGCTGTCTGTACGAACGGTAGGTTCTTCGCACTGGTCGCCACGATGCCTACGCTATAGTCCGCGCCACGCCCTTCAGCTGCGCACAGCTGAACGACAGTTGTCTTGGAAAGGCCTTGATTCTGAACGTGAAGCAAGAACTTATTCAAAACTTCGGCGGTCAAACCGTGTTGATGAACCTCGGCTCCGGCATAGACACCGATAGCTGAAGACTGAGAGTATGCGAACTCCATGACGCTATGGCTGCATGAAGGCGTTTGTAATGCGAGATGATTGATAACTTGACGTCCGGCAGAGAGGAGGTGGCTACTTGAGTACGCATCGTTCCCGGTCGTTGGCTGATGCATGTAGATCGACACGTCTTCCAGAACGCGATTGGCGGTTGTGCAAAGCGAGGCCTTCTCCCCGTCGGGTTCGAAGAAGGATCTGGCTACCGACACGTAGTCTGCAGTACATGCCCGAGTGACGACGTTTTCCCTAAGATCAGCCTCGGCGTTCTGAACGACCATGTCAATGAGCATCGTCTCATTACAAGCGGCAAGCCGTCCGATATCTGGATACAAGAACCATTCGGCTCTTGATGTCATATCTTTCGTTGTGCTGCAGGGTACGGGACACAGGTCGCCCGCCGCTGAGTTCACGCTTTGGGCTGCTGCTAGCCATTCGTCAAGGTCATCGTTCTCGTTGCCTCTTCGAATTGCTTCCACGCTGGAAGAATTGGACCTAACACATGCTGTCAGTACAACAATTTGAAGTACTACTGGGGAAATCAAAGTGATTTGATAAGAGCGAGGATGCTTGAAGCTGAGGTGTGATTTGCACCACAAGCAAACGAAGTGTAACTTACAAAACGCCCCCAACAAGCAACGCATAAGGGATAATGCTGCGCAAAGATACTTTCGCCATGACAGAGTTCCACGATAGAATGCG